GGCGACGGCGACGACGACGACGACGACGACGACGACGACGACGACGACGACGGCGCCGCCGCCGACAACGACGACGACGACGACGATGATGACGACGACGACGGCGACGACGACGGCGGCGACGCGACCGCGGCCGACGACGACGACGACGCCGCCGACGACGACGACGGCGACGGCGACGACGACGACGACGGCGAGGACGACGACGACGACGGCGACGACGACGGCGATGACGATGACGACGACGACGACGCCGCCGCAGACGCCACCGGCGACGACGACGACGACGGCGACGGCGACGGCCACGGCGACGACGACGGCGACGGCGACGGCGACGACGACGACGACGACGACGACGACGACGACGACGGCAACGACGACGACGACGACGATGACGACGACGACGACGACGACGACGACGACGACGACGACGACGGCGACGGCGGCGGCGTCGGCGGCGGCGGCGGCGGCGAGGGCCCAGACCTCAAATGTATTGAAAAATGATGTGCGAATGTGTGCCGCCGATTTCAGCCTCTGGGGGCCTATCTGGGGAAAAGAAGCCGGTCCTGGGGAAGCGCTGGGACTTCCGGAGGCCCCGCATTCAAACATGATCGGCCCACGGACCCGGAAAGTGATATAGAAATGTGAAGCACGGAAATTGTTCAGAACATCTAATTGGGGCGACTTGCAATTGCAATGCTCGAGGCAGCGATGGTGACTTACAGTGCGGAGGGGCTATGCTGTGATGCGATAAACTGAGGCGCGCCATGCCGCGTCGAAGTGTTGTGCTCTGTTGATATGTGGATCAGGCCGTCCGTGGCGTCACAATCCCGATCGGACTGATCTGGATCTTGAGCACGAGCTGCCCGAACGCATAAATCCGCCGACCCCTTGGGGTCACGGCGTGTGAGATGCTCCCCCCTCCGTCCGGCCGGTTTGGAGGGGGGGGTGGGGGCGGCAAATCCATCATCCGCACACTTGGAGCCTCAGGAGGTTCCAAAACGGGCCAAAAAGGTTCCAAAGGTTCGGAACGGTCCAAGAAAGCTACGAGTCGACGAAAGATCGCCCCAAAACGCCGAAGATTGCCTCCACACGGCAACGTAAGTCCCCAAGACGTTTGAAACAATATTACGAGGTGCCCCAAAGTGGCCCTCCAGGAGCAAAAATCGTCCCATTTCCTGGAGAGAACTACATTTTCACCACATTCGCCCATTCGGCTTCCACGCGGCGCAAAACGGCCCAAGAAGCTTCCAATATCGACCCTCTCCAGCCCAAGAGGCTCCCGAAAAGGCTCCAAGACGGCGTCCGGGCTATCCACGAAGGCCCCAGAAACCATAGCAACGGCTTAGGAAAGCCACAGGACGGTCCCAAGAGGGCTCCAAAACGGGGCAAGAGGGCCCCCAAAGGCTGTCTGGACGGACCACGCAGGGGACGATTCGGCCCAAACCGCCCAAGATCGCCGCCAGACGGCCCCATGGGTGTCCAAAACGTTTGAAAACGCAACCACGAGGCGCTCCAAGAAGGCCTCCAAAAGCAAAAAACCGTCCTATTCCCCAGGTAAGACATACATTTTCAGCACATTAGCTTCCTGGGCTTTCACGAAGCCCACAACGGCCCAATAAACCTCCAAGATCGACCCCTGTTACCCGAAGAAGCTCCCAAGAAGGCTCCAATACGGCTTCCGGGCGATCCACGAAGGCTCCAGAAACCATAGCACCGGCCCAGGAAAGCCGCAGGACGGTCCCAAGAGGGCTCCAAAACGGGCCAAGAGGGCTCCCAAAGGCTGTCCGGACGGCCCACGCGAGGGACGATGCGGTCCAAACCGCCCACGATTGCCTCCAGACAGCCCCATTGGCGTCCAAGACGTTTGCATACGCGACCACGAGGCGCTCCAAGCAGGCCTCCAGAAGCAAAAACCGTCCCATTCCATTGTGAAAACGTACATTTTCACCATATTCGCTTCTTGGGCTTCCACGAGGCCCACAACGGCCCAGTAAACCTCCAAGATCGACCTCTGGCACCCCAACAGACTCTTCAAAAGGCTCCACGACGGCCTCCGGGCGCCCAACGAAGGCCCCAGAAACCATAGCAACAGCCCAGGGGAACGGCAAGACGGTCCTAAAAAAGCTCCAAAACGTGTCTAGAGGGGCCTCACAGGCTGTCCGGACAGGCCACGCGGGGGACGATTGCTGCCGCCCCAAGGGGTTGGCGGTGTGGCGTAAGCCAATGAATCAGATCTGGTCGCAATCGAAACGCGCGGGGCGCTCGACCAGCTCGAGCTCAAAACCCGACTCAATTCGGAAGCGTGACGAACCGACAGGAGGCGGATCTGAGCAGTTCTATGCTCTGTTGCGTCGTGGATCAGATCTTCCCTGGCATCCGAATCCTGACAACTCGAGCTGCCAGGGCGCATTGCTGATTGCAGTCGAGACCTTCTGAGAGGATTACGTTCCACAACAAGGAGAAATGATAAAGGCGAATCCAAGCCGGGGCGAAATGAATCGAGAAGGGGCGGGCGGGCCGAAACGCCGACGACGACAACGACGGCGGACGGCGACAACTGCGACCGCGGTTCCAGCTCGGGACCACTATTTTGGATATCCTCCTGGGTGGCCTGCGCACGTGAAAACACGTGGGTCCAGCTCAGGACCACCATGCTAGATACCCCTCTGGGTGGCCTGGCCACGTGAGCACACGTGGTTCAACCTCGGGACCATCATGTGAGATACTTTTCTGAATGGCATGACACATGAAAACATGTGGTTCCAGCGAAGGACCAATATGTCAGATACGTATCCACCCGGGTGGCCTGGACACGGGAAAACACATGGTTCCAGCAAGGGACCACCATCTTAGAAATCCCCCTGGGTGGCCTGGACACGTGAAAACACATGGTTCAAACTCGGGGCCACCATTATAGATACCCCACTGGGTGGCCTGGACACGTGAAAGCACGTGGCTCAAGCTCGAGACTTCTTAGATAACCCCCTCGGTGGCCTGGACACGTGAAAACGCGTGGTTCCATCTGGGGACAACCATGTTCGATACCCCCTGGGCGACCTGGGCAAGTGAAAACAAACATTTCGCCTAAGACATCCTCTGACTTCTGGCCCAAAAGAAAGGATCAATCCATAGGACAAATCAAGAAATTCGCTCGACACACCCTCAATGAATTCTGCAAAACAAGCGCTTCGCTCGAGGCATCCTCAACAACAGAAAGTGTGTACTGCACCCTGTGGTTCAGATCGGAATGTCAAAAACCAGCGTTTCGCTCGGGACATCCTCACAAACACGTCCGCCCGCCTCATTCGACCCCGAAAATTATTCAGGAAAAACCTGTCGACCTCATGCAAAAGAGGCAACGGGGAGAAGTTTGCCGATTAAACATGATCGACCCGCGAACCCAGAAAGGAATGTAGATATGTGAAGCACGGCATCGTTTCCAAGACGTCGAATTTGGGCGACGGGCAATTACAGTGCTCAGGGTAACGATCGTGATGTGCCGTGCCACGGGCTGTGCTGTACTGCGCCGTGCTGTGCCGTGCTGTGCTGAGTTCAACGTGTCACGCCGCGTTGAACCGTGCCGCGCTCTACTGCATTGTGGAGCAATGCCGTCCTTGGCGTCAGAACCGTTGCCGAACCGATGTGATCTTAAGCCCGAACTGCCTGAACGCATAGCTCGGGCTAGTTCTAGTCGAGACGCGCGTGGCGCTCGACCAGCTCGAACTCAAAATCCGATTCACTTCCGAAGCCATCGCCCGAGACATTCAGTTCCGCAACGGAGCGAACCGAGCGCGACCACGAAAGGCGGAGGAAAACACGCGGGGCGTTCAACCAGCTCGAAATCAAGATCCGACTCAGTTCCGAAGCGGGACGAACCGATCAAGGGGCGAATCCGAACCGAAATGAAAAGCACCGAGACGACGCCGAGGACCCCGCTCGACACCTCCTCAAGCAATGGAACAAGCGTGAAAACACGTTGGTCCCTTTCGCGCCGAAGCGGAACAAGCGTGAAAATACATGGTTCCATCTGGGGACAACCATGTTAGATACCCCCTGGGCGACCTGGGCAAGTGCGAACAAGCATTTCGCCTAAGACAGCCTCTGAATTCTGGCCCAAAAGAGAGGATCAATCCATAGGACAAATCAAGAAATTCGCTCGACACACCCTCAATAAATTCTGCTAAACAAGCGAGTCGCTTGAGACATCCACAACAACAGAAAATGTGTACTGCACCCTGTGGTTCAGATCAGAATGTCAAAAACCAGCGTTTCGCTCGGGACATCCTCGAAAGCACGTCCGCCCGCATCATTCGACCCCGTTATTGATTGAGGGAAAATCTGCCAGCCTCCTTCAAAAAAGGCAACGGGGAGAAGTTCACCGATTAAACATGATCGACCCGCGAGAACGGAAAGGGATGTAGCAATGTGAAGCACGGCATCGTTTCCAAGACGTCGAATTTGGGCGACGAGCAATTACAATGCTCAGGGTAACGATCGTGATGTACTGTGCCACGGGCTGTGCTGTACTGCGCTGTGCTGTGCCGTGCTATGCTGTGTTCAACGTGTCACGCCGCGTTGAACCGTGCCGCGCCCTACTGCATTGTCGATCAAGCCGTCCTTGGCGTCAGAATCGTGGCCGAACTGATTTGGATCTTAAACCCGAACTGCCTGAACGCATAGCTCGGGTAGTCGAGACGCGCGTGGCGCTCGACCAGCTCGAGCTCAAGATCCGAGTAACTTCCGAAGCCATCATTCAGTTCCGCAACGGAGCGAAC